CTGCTGAAGGCCAGGCAGACAGGCTACTCACACCTCAGCGTTGGTCTGCCACAGCAGCAGAGCTCAGCGCTAAATTTGCCCGGTGTGAGGCCTGTGCTGTTGTGGATATGCTGTTTCTGGTATCTGGGTTGGTACGTTTAATGTTCCTTACTGGTGAGCAAGGTCAGAGTGTTCCCTCCCCAGATGGAAGGGAGGAATCCCACCAGCCCTGATGGGACAGCAAAGACCCACAGGAGCTGCAGGAAGGCCCAGCAGATCTGCGGTGGGGAAGAAAGGGAGGGAATGGATGCGCGACCTGCTAGGAGACAACCAACTTATGGGCAGGGACGAAACCTATCGGCGGCCAAGAGCATGAAGAGTAGTGCATGAGGGACACTGCCTGTCAGATAAACCTGCCCAGAGGCCATTCTCTGTAACTGAGGCCATGGAGCACTGCCAAGCTTGCATGTCTGTGGCTAGCCTTTCTCCTCCCAAAATAAAGAGTGACTGTTTAGATACAACCTCCTGGAAATGGCTCTGGCTTCCGTCCTCTCTCGAACCACGCTCGGGCACGCCAGGGGCTGGCTGGTGCCCCAGCCGGGGAAGGTACTGACCGTTCAGCCCTAACGCGCTTGCTGCCCGCTCCTGTTTAGTTCACCAGAAGGGACACAGCCCGAGGTTCTCCAGTAGGGATCAAATTCACTCTATTCAAATTTTGGAGAACTGGCAACGCTACGCAGCAGTTAAACACACGTATACTTGAAGCTGTCAGGGAGTTAAAAATTAATAGAAAACCAGGACACGGCATAACATAATTAAAAAAAAAAAATCTCATGATAGCTTGGCAGGTAACACACAATTTTTTTTAGTCCTTGGAGAACAATAATTCAGTTTCACCCTTCTGGCTGCTAACCTGAATGAAGACAAACTAAGGTCAAATTGGAGACTTGAGTTTGACTCACCCAGTATTTAGCTACCATATCACGAAACTCAATTTTTGTTCTTCCTGAATAAGTATTAGAAGCCAACAGTGGTGAAACTATTCATCAACATACAACCAAAACCAATTTGAAACATAACTGTCAACTACAAATGGTAGTTTTTCATTAGGACAAATTGAAAATTATGAAATTTAAAATACCAAAAAATTTTATCTTCCACTGCAGCATATTATATCCATTCAAAGGCTTGATTTTTAAAAAATTATGTAAATGTCCATTTAAAACAGCATATGAAGGTGTCAGAATTTCGGCACAATATTTTTAGATTTCACAAAACACACCTTAGTAAATTATTTTAGGCACTGCATGTAGAACCACGTATTCTACAGGAAAACTATAATGAAAAAGGAAAACATGCTTAGAAGTAAAACAGTAAAATTGGGGTTTATTAGTCCATCTACAGATGGACAAAGAATATGAAAGAACTTCAACTTACTGCAAGAGATTCCATTTGCTACACAGCAAGCATGGCACAGGAGAAAAGGAAAGGAAAGAAAGTATAGTGTCAGTGTAATGCATGCAATAGGAAGCACAGCCCATCTTTAATAGCATAACTTGTCAGCAGTATTAGCAATGCTTGCCTCAACCTCATAACTGGTTGGAAATATCACATACAACATGCACAGCATTCTTAATAAAATCAAGCTTTAATTCTAATGGTAAATTACAGTCTAAATATCCTCAGTTAGATCTTCAGATTTATTAGTTTTGATTTATCCCACTCAGTAGCTCTGGAACTGTTTATTACTTGGCACATTACAGTGGAAACATTTTGCATATAATTTTTAAGTTATGACTACCATAAGAAAAAAAAAATCCATGGAAAATGCCAGTTTGGTTTCACTACATGGCAATGCCACAAGTTCAGACAGCTTTGTATTCCTTCCTCTCACCAGTAATGATTCACTGACTCGTACGCAATTCTGAAGTTATTAAAATGTCAGTGTAAGTCCTGTTGCAATACTAATAAAAATTCTAATTGACTGGCATTAGCATTTCAAAGATTAGGGGACTAACTTCTCTCCTCAAAAAAAAAGTGTTCCTCTTTTCTTTGCCAAGAAGTAACATTTGCACTCTGTGCACTTCTAATGCAGCTTTCCTTATTATGTATATATTACATTCTCAAGACATTTTAGATGAACAGAGTTGTCATGTAAATGCTGTAATTAACAAACACAATGACATCTGCCCAGTTACAGCCTGAAGCCAGTCCATATGCACACAGTGTTAATAAACATTTGGAAATATTATTAAAATGATTTACCTTACCATCAATACAAAGGCAGCAAACACAGAAATGTGAAATAATGCCAACTTGGTATAGCCTAACAAAGTATTTCAGTCTGGCTTCTTTCCATGGGCCTTACTATTAAAAAATGCATGAAAAGTATTGTCCCAAATCCTGTACCACTCTTTTATAAAGCCATGACAGACTAAGCTTTAAGATCTTGTGATGTTTAATTTTATGCCTTTAACATTGCTTGAATAGATTTTTTCTTCTATTTGGTACTCTTGAAAAAGCCCCTTTATATCCTGGCTTCCATGCAGTCCATGTAAATTAAGGTTTGTAAAGCTAAATTCAAGATAAGAAGAGGACAAGAGCAGACAGATCACTGCGCTCTAGTAAATTCACAGGTGTGCTGGCGTGTGTTTTTCAAATATTGTTTGTCTCTGTCTTAAGCTCCTCTGAAGTTTAGCATGCCACCAAGTTTCACTTGGACTTTCAAAAATACTGGAATCAACATATAATTTCTAATTTGCCATGGAATTTACTTTAAAAAAGAGGGGGGCGGAAGCAGCTAAGTAGTGAATTCCATGGTCTTTTTTTCCAGAAAAAACTGTCTTCTCTGTACTGCTTCCAAAACCAGGGCAAGCTAAAAATAGGGGTGGGGAATGGGTTTCACATTACATGAAAAGCCCCTCTTCTTCACTGAAAGAAAATATACCAGATACAAAATCTCCCTAACTAGTGATACTCAGCTCCATATTGCTCTACAATTTCATGACTGTAACTTATCTTCCTCTCTCTTTCAGCGTAAAATGAAATATTCCTTGGGAGTTGAAAAGACACTAATTATCGGACTGACATTTCTTTTAGTCCCCAGCAGCAAGGGCTCAGGTGGAATGGTCCTAGCCTTCACTCTTCTTCTCAATTTCTAGTTTAATTCCCATAGTAAGGGAAGTGGTGTTTTAGATTAGTTGATAGACACTACACAGTTAGTGGTTTTGGCAGCTGAAAATACTGAATGCTTAGAGTATTTGGATCATTGCACAGTCCTTTATGCAGCTAGTAAATGCTGCACCTAAGAAGGATGCACACCCTAGCAGCAACACTTTGATTCAGTTTTTTATTGAGACAGAGAATTACTGTTCTGTACTATTAGCAGACCAGGAAGATGGCAAAGCACTAATCTTTAGATCACGGGCCTTCTTGCTTTTTTTCACCTACTGAAAAGAGATGAGAGTTACACAGTTATTTCTTAAGACATCGATGGCAACACAGTCTTCAGTCATTTATTGGCATGGGTGAGTCCCACTGCAACAAAATAACTGCTGTGTGCAAGGGTTATTAATTGCAAGTGCATTTTATTAAGGTATTCTATTTGACTGGACATGCCAGCAGACAAAAGCTTTTCCTAGAATCTAGGAAAGTGGGTATATATACAAATTTTTATATATATCAGAGAGCAAAAGAGAGATACCACATATGATGTGCATTCTTAAGTATCCACTGGACTTGAAGAACAGTAGAAATTATTCTGTCTGGTGAAATCTAAAACACAGCTGTGTTTCTCCTTTAGAAAAGCTGCCTATCTGGGGCAATTTTACCTCATGTCAATCCATGGATCTGTCAAACAGCAGTCAGACAACAGTTTATTGATTATTAAGAATTTCTAACTTAACAATGAGACTCACTGTGCCTTAGGCTTTACTGTAACTCAACTCCAGATGACTATGGTCCCAGGAGGTACACCTCCAGTCTTATTGGTGGCCTAGAGTAATTGAACCTTTAGCTACAGGGAAACTCATAGCAACAGGTACATTCTGAATTTTTGGGGCAAATTTTTATGGGGTGCAGCATGTTTTAAATATCCATTAACAGTTTCAGTTTGCAAAGCCCACATCCAGGAGCTTGTGGTGGACTTTGGGATGAGCAAGGTTTAAGAAAGGTGTATACTGGCTTTGGACTTACAGAGTAAACGGAATGTCTCATTAGGAGATAAATACATATTTGAACTAGCAGTGCTAACTGACAAGAAAAAAAGGATCTTCCACGTATCTCTTTTCCAGAAAAAAAGCCCCAAACAAACCCAGTCTTTGACTAGATTAAAAAAATCCCTGGTTAGTAAGGTTAAAGAATGTACTGATAGCTGTACTCATCTAAGAATGTTAACACCTGGACAGAGAGCACAATAGTATGTGCAGTTATCTTTTGTCTGTAAATTGACTCCTATGTCCTTGACACTCTGTTGCTCAATGTAGCATCAAAGCTTAGAAATCACAGACACCTCTAAATCATGTAATCTGTTGCAAGAATAAGGGGGAGAAAGACATTCTGGGACACGAAGCTTTTACCCAATTTCAGAAAAGTTGCTAGCTCTAGCAGCTGACCTAGACAACTTCTATTTCAAGCCTCTTTAGTGTCAGAATAAGCAATTTTTGCCTTTGCCCATTTTCAGTAACAGTAACAATGGTCAACAAATCATGTGCAATTATTTTGAAATAAGATCTGGTTACTGGTGCCAAGTTAAGTTACCAGCATGAGCGGGCATTGGTGATGCAACCACTTGTGCTGATGCTGAATTTGGTCTCATGTCTGTCTTGTCTGTAGAGGGGACTATTTTCACCTCAAGCTTTTTACCAGGTGGGGAGTTCTGAGAATCTAAGATTTCTGCTTTCTGTAGAGCAAGGTGTTGCTTTTTCTTCCTTACAATTATTTCTGAACCTTTTCCAGAAGTAGCTTGGTTTTGTGCTTAGCTAAGCAATTTTTTATGCCACAAGTTTTCAG